ATCTTCTAAAATATTCATTTTATCATTTAAAGTTTCTTGCAAATTGTCGTTTAAATTGTCTTGCAAATTTGATTTGCAAAAAAATGACGAGTCAAGGTCACCTTCCAACTCGAAGTAAAATGTGTCAGGATCCTCATCTTCCTCCACCAAAACGTCTCTCAGTCTAGCTTGCAAAATGCTTTTTTTCCATCTGTCTCGCACTCTCTCTCTTCCAAGATGCATTTCAGTTCAGACACTTTCAAGTCTTTCAACAATTTTTTCAGAGCCATGGTCAGTCTTTTATTCTTCTAGTCTATCACACACGCCAAACTTGACACCAATTGTTATGTTTTTCGTCGGTTCCGTGTGATAGAAAGTCACAATTTATTTAAACACTATTTATTTAACACTAATTAACAAAAACAATAACGATAAAAGACTTATAGAACTATTTACAAACGATTTATAACTAAGAATCTATTTTGAATTTTAGCGCGCCAACTGCACTGGTATATTAATAACTGCCCCCTGTAGGCTACCGCCGCCGGCTTTTATACCGACAGGTAAAGAACTCTAGAATTGTCCATAGATCGTTAGGTGCGTAGAGAAGGTTTTCGAATGTTCTCGTATGTACTAGTCCATTCCAGTGGGACTCGATTCTTCTCGAATGAATGAATCATTGCGGTGTCTATGCGATGTTAAGGTCATCTGAGGGCGGGACATATAGTTAGGTTAGGTCGAGTTCACAAGGGTCCGCAACAATACAAACAATCTTCCCAGATAAACAATGGTTTAAAAATTTCCAGTATATAGATAGAATTACAACGTTAATTAGAATGCGTACAGGCCATTGCTTATAAAAAAACATTTATGTAAAATTAGAGTGAAGGAAGATCCATGCGGTGAGTGTGGCTCTGTTGAAGACCTAAATCCTATCTTTTTAGAATGTCCTATACATTTTTTGTTTAATTTGGATTTATTCAAAAATTTATTGAAATTTATTTTCCTACCCCACTATCAATATTTACAGTTTTGTCTAAGCCAAGTGAAAAATTAATAAAAACTATTATGATATTTTTAAACATTAATAGAATTAAATTATAATACTCAACTTTCTATTTTTTTATTTTCTTTTGGTTTCAGTTTCCGAATGCAGTCTGTTTGTGTGACCTCTACCCTATGTGCCTTTGTTTGTGATAATCTTCCTTTCAGCACCTCATTTATATATTTAATAAATAATAATAATAACATTTTACAGTTACAGGTTACATTCATAGAAGTTCTTCTTCTTACAGTGCCATACTCTATGTATCGCAAGTACAGGGTGTCCCACTAAGAATAGCTCTCGGCTGTATCTCGGAAAGTATTAGCCACAGGGGCTGCGGAAAAAAATATTTAACTAAAGAGGCTATGAGAAATTGCTGGAAATTATTTTCAAGTTTGTAGAACTATCGCTAGGGGGCGGCAACAGCAACAAAAAAGAAAATGGAGTTTTTACACAATTTTGCCTAGATAAGGTGTACTATAAGTAATAGCTTCTTAATTTTCAGTAAATTTTGAATATTTTTTTAGAGCCATTTTCCCCTATCTACCAAAAAAAAGTGGTGGGGCAAGGTTAGATCTGTTTTTATTTAAATATTAATAACTCTGGACTGGATGATCGGAATCCAACAAGTGAGAAGTCGTTTAAAAGAGCGTTTCTTACTCTATATTATACCATATAAACAATAATAATAAGCTTTTGAAAGTAGACGCTAGGGGGCGTTGTCTTACAATATAACAAGCGCGTTTTTTCAAAAGAAATGAAATGCAATAGTATATGTAATTTTAGCTGATCGGAAAGAGTAGAAAATGCTTAAAAAGTTAGCAAAAACCGCATCTTGATATCTTCTTTCAAACCGAAGATATTAGCAAAATTATAATAAATACCAAAAAATAAGCCTTTAATTACCTTACTTTTACAACACGGTATCAGTAGCCCTCTTGATTATGCTCATTCTAACCTAAAAATAAGATAGAAATAGTTAGTTTATTTTAAATCGACGATATACCAGAATATCATAATATCAGATTTATTAATATCTAATAATTAAGATATTAATAATAGTGATCAAGAAACTATGATTCAGTGAAGTCATGGTAGGCTTTGGGAAAAAGTTGCTTTTGACATAATAGTATAAACGTCAAATTGTTATTAGATCAACATTTTGATAGTGTTAGCAGCGTTTTTGATCTTTTGATTGCTTTGTCAAAATGCCAATAACTTCAACTACTTCAAATAATAAAGGCATTTTGAAAAAGCATTTAAAAGATAAAAAAACGCTTCTAAGACTATCAAAATGTTCAACTTTTTTCCAAAGCCTACCATGACTTCACTGAATCATCGTTTCTTGTTCACTATTATTATTATCTTAATTATTAGATATTAATATATCTGGTATTGTGGCATTCTGGTATTTCGTCGATGTTAAAATAAACTAACTGTTTCTATCTTATTTTTTTGTTAGAATGGGCCTAATCAAGAGGGCTACTGATACTATATTGTAAAAATAAGGTAATTAAGGGCTTATATTTTGGTATTTATTATATAATAATAGCTCACGTATATAGCGTTTTACGCCTTGGGAGTAGAAAGGTACAGCTTGCCATACTAGAGCCGTTCGGTATACAAGGAAGGTAATGTGGCTAGCACTACGCTTCAACCGTCTATTATTACCTCAGGATTGTGAATCCCAAGTCATTTAAGGCTGAGTCGATCTAGGTACCCAAACTATTTTTATTTTAATAAAAATATGTCGGCTGATGAAATGCCGGGTGTGGGATTCGAACCCACTACCTTGAGATTGGTAGACGAGAGCCTGTACCTCTATGCCATCAGGCACCTGGTATTTACTACAATATATAATATACACATGGTATTTATTATAATTTTGCTAATATCTTCAGTTTGAAAGAAGATATCAAGATGCGGTTTTCGCTGACTTTTTAAGCTTTTATTACTCTTTACTACCAGCTAAAATAGCACATACTATCGTATTTATTTTTTTTTTGAAAAAACGCGCAATATTTCTTAAATTGTAAGAAAGCGCCTCCTAGCGTAATGTTCATAACCTTATTATTATTATTATTATTATTAATATGGTATACTATAGAGTAAGAAACGCACTTTTAAACGAGCTCTTGTTTGTTGGATTCTGATCATCCAGTCCGAAGTTATTAACATTTAAATAAAGACAGATCTAACCTCCCCCACCACTTTATTTTAGCTGATATGGAAAAATGGTTCTAACAAAAAAAATCCAAATTTTAATGAAGATTATGAAGCTATTATTTATAGTACCCATTATCTAGGCAAAATTCTGTAAAAAATCTATTTACTTATTTTCCATAGCAGTTGCGCCACCTACCGGCCGTTTTACAAACTTGAAAATAATTTCCAGCAATTTCTCATAGCCCCTTTAGTTATAAATATTTTTTTCCATAAGCCCTACGGCTAATACTTTCCGAGATACAGCCGAGAGCTATTCTTTAGTGGGACATCCGGTACTTGTGATGTGTGTCATCAGTGTTTCACAAGTACACGGGACCTACAGTTTATTGCCGAATCCGAACGGCACTATTTGAGAGGCTGTACAAGGCAAATATACTCAAGGTGGTTTGCCATTGCCTTCCTTGAGGTGGCGGCTCGTTGGTCGCTCTATCTAGATAAATAAATATTTTTATTTAAACAAATAAAGCGACCGTACTGGCTGGGGATCGATCATAGAAGTTAGTTATATTAAAATTTACCCATTATACATTTAATCAGATAAGAATCAGTGGTCTTGATATGGTTTGGAGCCAGTCAACATCGTGGTCACTCTCAAATTGTGCTGGCATGGCGGTTGCCTTGTAGCATAGCCATCATAAAACAAGAAGAACTTTGCTTTTGACAAAGTGGCAAATAAATTTTTCAGAATGTCAGCATGACATGAGTAGAGAAATGGGGGACTGGTATCATAGAATATACTGCCCGAAATAATAAAAATATGTTTTAAATCGTACTCAATTTTATTGGAACCAGCTGCACATAACTACTGTAATCAACTGTCTAAAAACTGGCTTTGGTAAATTCAGAATTTTTTTTCGGCGCTGGCTCTTAGACTATATTATGTATAAGGGTAATAACAAAAAATAGAATACAATCAGTCATGTCGATCGATTTTTAGACCCTAGCGGAAGTTATACAGGGTCGTGGACATAGAATTTCTACGTACTTTTGGAATCAAAATAAGCTGATTGAACACAATTTACCCATATAAAATATAACTTCGTTTGTCCGTTAGATGGCATCAAACTTTAAAAAATAAACACTTTTTTAAGATATTTTAAGAACTGATATTTCTGCGTTTTACATTTGACTTTCATAACAGAAAAAGAAAAAGTACGGGAAGGATGCAAACTACCCCCACCCCTACATACATTTTAGTTGAAATATTTTCCAACTCTATCGACCATCAATTTTTTTTCTTAAAATGATTTCATATTTACTACATTTTTGTCTCGAAAAGAACGTCACTACGCGTACTTTTTTAGAGAAAAAAATGTTTTTCCGAAGCTGACTTGTAGCGAACTATGTAGGCGCATAAAATCTAGTATGCTTTAATAAACTATTTTGGCAATTTTTTGCCAAAATATACGTAATTTTTGAGACTGCTATAAGTTAGGTTAGGTTAGGTTAGGTTGTGATTGTGATAAAGTGTGTTAGGTTCTGATTTGGAAAAAAAAATCTTTAACATTTTTTCTCAAAAACTATGCGATATGGTTTTTTTTACAAGACAAAAAATGTAGTAAATACTAGTAGGACCATTTTACGAAAAAAAACAGTCGTCGGTGGAGTTGTAAATATTTCTACTAAAATTAATGTAGGTGTAGAATATTTAGACACACCTGTATACTTTAATTGATTAATTGAATATGAAATATTGCCTCTCAAACTATTACATAAAATTGTTAATGTTTTATTTGGATTTTTAAGGGTTGTTGGTTACAAAGAAGTGGACAAATCATTTTTCTTTACTATGAGCCGAAAGGGTGTAATGCAGCATTCTGGTGGTGAAGTAGTTTTCACTTCTTTAGATAAGTGGGAAGCAGAATACAAGATGTATAAAAGGCTAGTTCAAATTAAAACGTTTAAAAATTTTAGATTGTGGAAAGTAAGTTACCAGTATAACGATATATGGTAGATTAGATTTTTACACCATACGATCGAAAAAAAATGCATCAAAAAGGGCTGGGGAATGACAATCGCTGATACCTACATTTGGCGAGGTCAATTTCTAGACGTTATTTACTTGGCCCGTACTCGCCTTTACTTTTTAATGGGACTTACGCCAGTTGGCCTTAAGAAGGTTGTAATTTTTTTATAAATGTTACAGCTAAAATGGAAACTTGGCAAGTTTTAAAACTAGCTAGCTATTTTTCAAACTAACTAAAAGCGCTCTTATTTTGAAGGAATGCGCCCATTCTTGCTAAATAGCAGACAGCAAACAGCTAGTTTACAAACTAGCTGGTTAGTTTGCAAACTATATATTCGTATTGGGTAATATCATAATTTTATATTTTTGTTTTCATATTAACCAGTTATTTCAGTTAGTTTGTATAATAATCATTTATAATTTTGGCTAATATGATACTCCATTAGTTTTAGTCACACAAAATAGCAAGATTATTGGGTAGTTTACGAACTGAAATCCTTGCAATTTAAGAATGAAATTATACCAATATATTCTTCAAGTTGAAGAGCTTACTTGTGTTTCTGTATTTGTACGCGTATTTATGTGATTTTGTCAATTTAAGGTGGATTCAAGTAGCAAAATAAAATAAAAAAAAAAACATAAAAAGAAGAAATAATAGTTCTAATATGGGAGCATTCAAACAGCCAAATAAAATAATAAATATACATTTGCAAATGAGTAATACGTTAAAATTGGATAAACATTTAGTTTTCAATTTAGTAGTTTTTTATAATAATTTTAGTATTGCAATGTACCCATTTATTCAACGGCAATGTACAGGGTGTCCCACTAAGAATAGCTATCGGCTGTATCTCGGAAAGTATTCCCAAGTAGCATCTATCTGACTTCGAACTCAATCTGACTTGAACCGACGTCAGAGTTTGTGCAAATTTAGTCGGGTGCTGGTGATGCGACCGGTGACGTCGCTTTCCTATTAAAAGCAACGTCGTTGGATCCGAGTTGGTAAATCCAACGATCTGTCAACGTACAAAATAACAACGTACCATTTTAATTAATTTCCCAACGTCGTTCTCGCGTTGGCATGCACGACGTACATATACTTGAACTAGCCCGACGTCTACCCGTTGTCCGAATAGGATACGTCTCACTGATAATCCCTAAAGTAACGTCCAATTATATTTTGTTGCATTTTATGTTCATATTTATAACCTAATTTACGTATCTCTATTTACGTCCTAATAAAAAGTTTTTGTAAACAAACTTATTTTTTTTATTATGCCTAAAAACACACTAAAAAGGCATTTAGACATTCATCTATACTCTACAGAAAGAGGTCGAGGCTTTTGCAAAATAATAATAGTAGTAGCGATGTGTTGCCTCCACCCATAAATGCTTTTTATCCGGAAGAGATGCTGTATTACACTGGTGCATCTTAATTTCATTTTTTAGCTTAGGAAACCAGCACACCCCATCCTCCTCCCACATGTGAGGTTAGGCTTAAAAAAAGTGGTTGCCCATTTTTTTAAGGAGAAAAAAAACTAAAATATAGTTGCACAAATCCACAAATCACTGATACGCAAAGTGAGGTTACGTGGCGTACGTTGGAATTATATACGTCATAATACGATTGCTGGTCGTCCGGTTTGATGACTTCGGTCGTGTGAGACGACTAATGTTGGAGACCCGGTCAGAATTGATATATTGTTAGTTCATATTAAGTCGGACACAGAAATCCAAATTTTAAGTGACTGAAATCCAACGTAATATGACGTTGTTAATTGGTAGAATTACATTCCCTATTAGGTCATATACCGACGTCAAAGCGACCCGAATCTGTATTCCCCATTTAGGTTTGGTAAATAAGGATCGTCAGGTCGCGCGTCGAACCGACGCGCGGTTTTGGTATTTGTAGAACGACCGCTAGGGGGCGCCAATTGCAACAAAAAATAAGAAAATGGAGTTTTTACGGAATTTTGCCTAGATAAGGTGTACTATAAGTAATAGCTTCATCATCTTCAGTAAATTTTGAATATTTTTTGTTAAAGCCATTTTCCCCTATCACCAAAATAAAGTGGTGGGGGAAGGTTAGATTTGCTTTTATTTAAATATTAATAACTCTGGACTGGATGATCGGAATCCAACAAGCAAGGGCTCGTTTAACTAAACAATGCTAATGAACCAAATAATATAATACCAAACCAAACAATGCTAATGAATCAAATAAAATCAAACATGTTTTGGCCTCATTAATGGTCATAATTGAATTAATAAGATATCTATTGATTTTATGCATATACTCGTACATATAAAACATACATGATCATTGTCATTGTTAGTGGTATATCAGATTTAGAATAAAAATGCTGCCTATTTGATTTAAAGAAATATACATTTGTTTATTAGTGTTTTCCCTTTGTTTTTCAAATACATTCCTTTTATTTCAAACTTTACTCTTTATATTTTCAAATGCAATGCTTAATGATTTATTAATATGTCACATTGTTTAAAGCTTGAGTTGATTTTAATCGAATAGGATCAGTACTAACAATTTAAATGAAATAAATATCAAATTTATTAGGAAAATAACTTTATTTGGGAATTAATCTTTTGGTGGTAAGTAGGTAAATGCAATTGTATTGAATGCCTTCCAAAATAAAAAAAGTAATAGATATAAGGGTATCCTGGGGCGGCTATTCTGTACACGGCATCGAAAATCGTCGGTATCGGTAAGTTACGACAGCTCTCGATACGTATTTGTATATAGTAAAAATGTGTTAATTGTTGTTGTCATAGTTACCGATCGGTTCTATGGCAGATATCGCAAATTTATACCGACGAAAATCGGTATCTCTACCGTGCCCTTGTTAACCTCACGGTAGAGATACCGAGAGTTGTCGGTACAAATTTGCTATATGTCCTATTAATGACAGCTAAAACTATGATAACAACAATCAACACGACACTCATTGGCCGTACGTACGAATAGCTGTCGGTAACTTACCGTTATAAATATTTATATATTTTTTTATAATTATAAAGTATAAAATCTCAGGTTATATCGGTCTGTTTTTTATTCAATGACACTCATTTATTCATTAAACCCTCTATATTTCGTTAGTAGTTACTAACACCATCAGGAGGTACCAAGCTACAAGAAACATTATTCTTTACAACAAAGCAATCCAGCAAACAATACAAATATACAAGATAAGAGTTAACATAATAAAGACGAAAATCAAAGAACAAAAATTTTCGTCACAAAGTACAATGAGATAAAAAACATAATAATATATGGCAACTAATTATATATAAGTAAAAACCAGAAATATTAATTAAATAATCTAAAATAACTTACAATTAGAGTTAAAATATCGGTACGTGCACACCACACATTATGCATTTATTCTGTTAAAGTATGTAGGGTATATCAATACGCCGAGATAAAATTCATTTACATGTATTCAAAAAATCTTTAACAAAAAACCTACTACCACAATCAAAAACACTAATAATTATTTCTTTATTAACAAGTAAAAAAAAATTTTTTTTAACATTATTTAAATTAAGATATATTAATATTAGTATATAACGATATTAATTACTATTAAAAGTACAATTATTATTCTAATTTATTTTAATTATTTTTCAAAACATTGCAATAAATCACACTCAGTTTGTCAATATCCGATCTAAAATTAATGGAGTTTACTTTATTAATATGTGTTATTTCCAAGAACAGTCTTTTATTATAATTAGTTTCACGGTCTAAAACTGAGACATTTTTGTAGTCGAAATTATGGTCTTTATCCTGAAAATGAATTGCTAGGGCACATGAGCGTTTGCCTAATTTGCTATCACTTTTGTGTTGTGCTATTCTTCTTTTTAAAGACTGGGATGTTTGGCCAATGTAGCATCCCTCACAGCCAAGACAAGGGATTTTGTATATAACATTACTCTGATTAAGTATTGGAGTCCTGTCCTTAACGTTCGAAAATATTCTTCCTGATGTTAACATATTGTTACGTTTTTCGTCGGTTCCGTGTGGATAGAAAGTCACAATTTATTTAAACACTATTTATTTAACACTAATTAACAAACAACAATAACGATAAAAAAAACTTATAGAACTATTTACAAACGATTTATAACTAAGAATTTATTTTGAATTTTAGCGCGTCAACTGCACTGGTATATTTATAACTGCCCCCTGTAGGCCACAGCCGCCGGCTTTTATACCGACAGGTAAAGAACTCTAGAATAGTCCATAGATCGTTAGGTGCGTAGAGAAGGTTTTCGAATGTTCTCGTATGTACTAGTCCATTTCAGTGGGACTCGATTCTTCTCGAACGAGATGAATCATTACGGTGTCTATTCTTTAATGCGATGTTAAGGTCATCTGAGGGCGGGACATATAGTTAGAGTTAGGTTGAGTTCACACGGGTCCGCAACACTGCCCCCTTCTTAAGCAAATGCTCGTCCCGAGATTATACGGTGAATGAAGGTATTTGCAAAGCTGGCCCCTGGTACATTGCGAAGTCTGGTAGAAATAGCAGTCACAGTTTTCTCTCCCGATCTCAGCTTTGGGTTGTAGCAGCAAACAAGGATCTCGATTCCCGTAAATCTGAACAAGACTTCAATCATGTTCCGGATTGTACGCCAACTCAAACCATCGAGTCCACACGCCAGCTTCGGAATGGCTAATCGTGTAATGTTGTTGTTTAGCAAGGCTTCTCTAAGTTCAATCAGGGTCTTCCATAGATTGAGACTCACTTGGGGGCCATTCCTTGGTGACTAGGTAGAAAATGTGCCTTGCTTGACCAAGTTCATTGTCGGTTAGCCTCAAGACGCTTCGAATCTCTGGATCCTGTCGGCGTAGTTCTCCGACTCGCCCAAACTTCTCATTGAACGTCGCAGCGATTCCTCTGGACATCCGCAAATCTCGGGCCACACAGTGAGCG